AGCCTTCTCCACACTGACGAGCGCTAACAGCGCGAAACGCGTTCGTGGATGGCTTTTCTTGATTTATCAAGAAATTGGGTTAGCCAAATTTCAGGGAGCAAGCTAAAATAAACGTTTAGTTTATTTTTGCTCCACTAGATGGCGCTCTACCATCTAAAAGGCACATGTGCTCGTGGTCAGGAGATGCCTTCTTTATTTTTAATCAAATTATATAGAATTTATACGCTTCAATGAATGAAAAATAATTAGAACAATGTTTTATGTTTATAATTTAAGTAAAACCCTTCACGGTAGTTATGAGCCACAACGCCTGTTTTGGAAAATTCAGATAATCTATACACAATATCACATTCCTCATCACCATCGTAATGTTTTTTTTTTTTTAAATGAGAATATGATAAATTACAAAACTATTTTAGAGGCGTAATATTCTTTTTAAAATAAAACAATTTCTACTGTCCTTACTGCAATGGAAAAATTAAAGGGAAGGCCTGGCTCATCAGTGGTGAACCCTCCCAGCGGTTTCGCCAGTTTAATCTACCATACCGCTGTTATATTGCATTTTTGGAACTTCCTTTCATAGTTGACTGTTGTAAGACTCTTGGAATGGGTATTTTAAAAGAACTATGGACATAAGCTTTTAGGACAGCAGAATTAAATATAATTATAAATATATAATATGCTTCGAGCAATCGCTCTTCCGCAAATATCAAATTGTGTCTTTTATTTGAACAATTATATTACGATGCACTACATTAATTTTTCCATTGCAGTAAGGACAGTAGAAATTGTTTTATATTAAAAAGAATATTACGCCTCTAAAATAGTTTTGTAATTTGATAACTGATGGCGCGCTAGTGCATCGTAATATGATAAATATAAAAATATAATGTGAATTTTTCTTTTCTATGTCATATTTAAAAAGAGGTTTGTATCTTCACATACACTCATGGACAAAACATATGTGGAAAGTATTTGATGTCGCCGGTCATCTGTTTTTTTTTAAGACAGGGGCAATTTTGTTCAAACTTGGTTATCTAGTGCGTCTTTAATAAAGGTCACTGTGATATCTTTCAGAGTTATTGCCTGATTCCCGATTAACATGCTAAAAGGTACAACTTCCTTATGTTTTGTCCATGAGTATATATTGGTTATCTAGTGTGTCTTTAATAAAGATCACTGTAATATCTTCCAGAGTTATTGTCTGATTCCCGATATACATGCTAAAAGGTACAACTTCCTTAAGTTTTGTCCATGAGTGTATATTGGTTATCTAGTGCGTCTTTAATAAAGGTCACTGTAATATCTTTCAGAGTTATTGTCTCAATCCCGATATACATGATAAAAGGTACAACTTCCTTAAGTTTTGTCCATGAGTGTACATACGAAATTGTACACAACAATACTCAGTAAAAAAACATATGTTAAGGCATAGAGTTATAAATAATCTTGTAGTACATTCTTTACCTCTAACTGTGCGTTTGGCACAGGTAATATTAATTCATTTTTTGAAGGGAGAGGTGCTCATTTTGGAATATAATAGGGTTAATTATGTATACTGTGATTAAAATTGATTTAATTGTGGGTATTTATAATAATAGAGCCGACTAATATGTAATTAGGTATAGAAGAATAACAATAAATCCTATTGGTTGATGGAAAATATCTGCATTGCATATTACACAAGTTGCATATCTAGGTATTTCATACAGAAAATAATGGAATTGACATTAAAATATTCCAGTTGTTTATTTGACTATTGTATTCTCCAATTTTATGTCTTTAAAAATAATAAATATCTAAAAATGTATTTTATTTATTCAGAACCTTTAGTATGTGAAAAAATATTGCAAATGGAGTTAATCTCTTCAAATACATGTCTTTATATAAATGTATTATATAATTCATTTCCATTTATATATATGACAACACATAAATGTGGATGTGAATTTAGTATATGTAAATATATATTATTATATATTATAAAATTTAATTATTAAATGCATTAATACAATGCAGGTTTGGAGATACTTCGAGAGGAAAGCATTTTATGTAAATTTGTTAAAAAGGAAAATTAGCAGCTTTTGCACCGTGCTATAGCCCATTTAAAATATATTATATATATGTAACTGAAGGAGGAACTTCTCCCTTTAAAAATGAATTAAAACATGATTTTTGTAATCATGCGCTTCGATATAAATGAATGGTTCAAAACACCAGCTATGGATATAATTCAGAAATAAACTACACTCATGAACAAAACTTAAGGAAGTTGTACCTTTTAGTATGTATATCGGGATTCAGACAATACACTCATGGACAAAACTTAAGGAAGTTGTACCTTTTAGCATGTATATCGGGATTCAGACAATACATACACTCATGGACAAAACATAAGGAAGTGTACCTTTTAGTATGTATATCGGGATTCAGACAATACACTCATGGACAAAACTTAAGGAAGTTGTACCTTTTAGTATGTATATCGGGATTCAGATAATACACTCATGGACAAAACATAAGGAAGTTGTACCTTTTAGTATGTATATCGGGATTCAGACAATACACTCATGGACAAAACTTAAACTTAAGGAAGTTGTACCTTTTAGTATGTATATCGGGATTCAGATAATACACTCATGGACAAAACTTAAGGAAGTTGTACCTTTTACCATGTATATCGAGATTCAGACAATAACTCTGAAAGACATTACAGTGACCTTTATTGAAGATACACGAGATAACCAAGTGTGAACAAAATTTCCTCTGTCTCCTTCAAAAAAAAAAAAAAAAAAAAAAGACGACCGGCGATATCAAATACTTCCTGCTTCCCTCAGTTTGTCCATTAATGTATGTAGTAAAGGTTTTAAAGGGAGAAGTGCTACTTTTAATACATGAATACCAATCTCCCACAACTCTATATTGTATCTACATATGTAAAAGAAGAAAGAAATGAAGAATCTTCCATAAAGAGAGAATGTAGGAATCTACCCCTGAATCTTCTTATTCCTATCATCGATTAAGATAAGAAAGAAAATTAGGAAAGGAATAATTTATTAAAAGAATCCGGATGGTTATTTCTTTCCAAATAATCTCTCTTCTCTTTCAAGCACTAAAAAAAAAGAACTTCCTTTACCTCCGTTTAAAATTCTTTCTCAAACATTTTTTAATTTATTTTTTTCCTTATTTTAATGGGATTCTCAAATTTATTTTGTGATATAGAATCTTTCAAACTATTTTTACTTCATCTTCTTAATTTACCATATTTTTTTAAAAAATAACCCAAACATGATTCACACGCCTCGTAGGTAGGAGCAGTTTTAAATATATAATATGCATATGCAAATAAAACTAAAGAAAGTTATTTACATCATGGTTTTGAAACTTGTTATTTAACAGAAATATACGCAATTTGTAGCAAATATATTTAATGGCAATATTTTTATTTTCAATAAATACATCAAATATTATCTCAACAGACCTTACTTCAATAATATAAGTTATTGAATGAGAGGGCTTGGCTCATTACAGAAAGGTCTGTAGTGATAATATTTGATGATATTATTAAAAAAAACACATTGTCAGTAAATTTGTTTGTTACAAATGTTATCGATAAATGGCAATTGAATTTATAAACACATATATTTATGTATACCCTCATAGACAAAACTTAAGGAAGTTGTACCTTTTACCATATATATCAAGATATTGAGACAAAATCTCTTAAAGATATTACAGTGACCTTTATTGAAGACACACGAGATAACTAAGTGTGAACAAAATTCTTCCGTCTCCTTAAATAAAAAAAAAGACGACCGGTAACATAAAAGACTTTTAGGGTTTTGCTTAATTGTTTAATTTATATGTTTATTAAATGCTCTTTTTCTAAATTGTTTATTTTATTTTTCACAATTCTGTTACCTACTCTACTACAATATAAATTATTGTATATAGTTTCACGCGTAATTATCCAGATCGGATATAGCGTGTCTTGTTTGCAACTGGTAATAAATAAAGACGTTTAACTTGCTTAAGTTTAGACGATCAGTGTATCACATATATGTAGTAATGTAAGGCTGTAACAGTAAGTCAGTGACTTACAACCAACCATGATTATCATGGGCTGTTAAAAAAGTAATACAAATAATTAACACTACATATATTTTTATTATAAACAGAGCAAGCTTTAGAGTAAAGATACTTTTATACTGGCATGACTATATCAAAAGGAGAAATACGAACTGTTAGTACAAACAAATGTTTACCTGCATGTCTGCAAGTGTTGAGGTGAACATATGTTTACAGTTTGTAGTTCTCCATTTGACATAGTTAAACCAGTAGAAGAGTTTCGTTGTTCGGAAGTTTGCTTATTTCATAATAAAAAATATACGTTATGAAAAAGGCATCTCTTTATCTTGAAACTGAAAGTTGCTGATGGCTTGCGCCATCTATCGGAATAAATATCAACTATTCTCGTTGATTTCTAATTATTCCAGAATTGGCCAATTTCTCATTCTTGATTAATCAAGAAAAGCTAACCACGTACGTGTTTCGAGCTGTTGGCCCTCATCAGCGTGGTGCAAGCTGTACCTCAACGACCAAAAAACTGGTCATTTAGGCATCTTGAAAAAACTGTATTGTTAATTTTCTATCACTTTTTTATTAATAACCTTTAGCAATATACACCCAATGAATATTATCGTAAAGATAGAGGCTACCTGGCCGGCATTCATATTTCTTGAAAATAAAGATACTTCGGTCAAAATAAATCGTTTTAAAAATATTTACTGGCCGAAGTATCTTTAAATTTCATGTTATGTACCACGGGCATTTTGGAGAAGTAAAAATACATATAAACACACACAAAATAAGTTAGTAATTGTTATGATATATTAAATATACAGGTATCAGCGTCATAATCAAGCAACAATTCTTAATCAATTCTGTCACAGTTTGCTTTGTAAATGGAATAAATACCCAAATATGGCCATTTCTCATAACCATCGGTGGTTCAGTGGTAGAATGCTCGCCTACCACGCGGCCGGCCCGGGTTTGATTTCCGGCCGATGCATTTTTTTTTTTTTTACAATTTTAAAACTCATTTATATATTATACAAGAATGACATCCACGGCGCCAATTTATAATTGTAACGAATAGTATTTGAATAAAAGCATTTAATCGGGTAAAACCCGGGCGTTGCGTAGTGTATTTATTATTGACTATGCAAAACATGGCATTTTAAAATTGTTTAAACATTATGTAAACTATTTCCTTTTTATCTCTATCTTTCTATTTTATTCTAAAAGGAGATTACAGGATTAAATAAACATTCAGTTTAACTTGTAAAGCTGTGGAACAAGTCTTATTCTGATAAAACTCAGCCATTACAACAGTAATATTCAAATACATATGGTAAACCACATACAAATCAATGAATAATGCGTGATTCCAGTAACAGCTTTGTTACATAGAATCGATTGTGATATCATGTTATATTATTAATCTATAATCCTAATTATATAACCAATCAATATATCTAAATTTATTATTATAAACACAATGCGGTTATAGTTTCCATTTAAAGGCTTTTTTTAAAAAAGACTTTGATTGATGAAGCGTGTGTATTGTCTTAAAGCATAAACCCTAAACTTATAAAACAACAAAATTTTATCACAAAACCTTTCCCACTAAGTTAATCTATTAAAAATAAAGCACATGACGTTATTAAATAAAGTATTCAACCAATATTCCACACACCTTATTTTTCCTAAAACTTTTAGAAAACGCGTATAAATTTGCATATGTTAAAAATTAGGGTAGAGGATAGCACTTATCTTCTCTATTTGCATAAATGGCTAGTTATCAATAAAGTGAAAAATCAATAAAGATTAAACGCCTTAATAAAGGTTATATGTATATAGGATGTACGTTTTATTCTATCGTTCATTGGCTATCTAGTTTTTAAATGTCGATTGGTGACGCATGCGTAGTTCATTTTCTTTATATCGCCGTTGCGTGCACACAGAGGATCCTACAGACATGGCTGTTTTTTTGGCTGTTTTTTGTAAGAAAATTTTTTTTTGGGGGGGTTTTAAAATGTTGATTGGAGGTGTCAGACAGGATTAAGATTTCAAGTTATAATAGGATCGAGTTTTGCCATCGCAGATGTTCCATCTATGTATGAAATAACATTCTAGTATTTTTTAGTATCAACTTCCTTAAATGTCACATCTCCATGAGTATATATTACTTATTTGATTATATTGCCACTTGGAAAATTAGGGAAGAGAAAAACTTCAAGAGGAAACAACAATTTATTTCAGGGAAGGACAAACTATCAATTGTAAACAAAAGATAAGCCACGAGGGAAATTTTCAGAGTCGCAAGATATAAACATAAAAATGACCACTCTGTTAATAAAAATTAATAAAATTACTAAATACCATGTTACAATATTCATATACCAAAAGTATCACCTCTCCTTTTAAAATGTATTAAAACAACGTATTTGGTTGATTACCCAAGAACAAAACGTAATGATAGTCATCAAGAATTAGACGCTGTTTTATCATTCCTCTTGTAGTATATCATGAAATCGAAACCGCTTCAAGAATAATGAGGGATAAAGTCCGAAACCAAGGTAAACAGTTTGTTGGCTTTTAGGCGAATTAACTGAAATAGGTAGGGGGTCGGTGGAAGGATGGTCTAAACCGTTGGTTTTCGACCACTATGACCCGGGTTCGATTCCCGCATTGGACACTTTTTTTCTGATTAAGAAAATGTTCCAATTTCTCCCGATTCTTGCAAAAGTCCAACCTCAACAGCGAGTGTAAGTAACTAAACGGGGCTCTGGCATATTTGTAAGTGCAGAGTCGAACTGCTTTTCACATGTGTAGACATGTGGTGCAATTAGAGTAAAAGCAGTCGCCTTCTTTTATCCACCATGTTATCATGGCCTGTACTACCTGTACTAGGAATAAACAAAAAAACAAACTAAAACAGATGGTTCATTCTTGATAACCATCTTTATGTTTTGTTCTAGGGTGATAAGACAAATGCAGTTTAAATACATTTTTAAAGGGAGAGGTGCCACTTTTATTACATATATATTAAAAAGACTATAATTATAAATAAATATCTTCTTTAAAATTAACGTAGATAATTATAAATATCTCTCTCTCACTGAAGATATCCTTTTCAAATACATTCGTATATAATTTGGGGCGCAATTATGGTTAAAATATATTTGATATAAAAATAAAGCCCTTATAAAATTGATTAAAAATGTATTTTTATTACTTCTGAATAACATTTATTTTTCGTATCCCAATTTAAAATTAAAGGTCCATATTAATTTAATTTTTAATTAATTTTTTAATGAGTTAATATTTTCATTTATTAAATCCATTTCTGAATATGTGAATAAATTTATAAAGCAGACGAATCCAACAGAATATTCAAAATATTAACTTTATTAAAATATATAATATTATTTTAAAAAATATTTTTGATTGCAAATTATATGTATTTTTAATTAAGTATAATATTAAATATATTATATTCTAAATATTTTCACGAATAAAATTAAATTCTAATATTTAAATATAAACAAGTTTTCAAAATGCTTAATTATGTTAAACGAGGTTTCGAAACTATATCAATTTGTAAGATACAAAATTTAAATTAAACTTTTTTTTCAAAGATGATATATATTTTTATATCCGATTTAATCTCTTATTTTAAGAGGTTTTTTTTTTAAATTGGCAACACTATCTCTTTGTGATGGAAATAATTTTATTCAATTCTATTTTTTAAAATGCTCATTTAAATTCTAAATCTTATGTAAAAGGGGATTTACTGGTAAAAAAGAATATTACGGGCAATTCAACGAAAAGAAATATTTTGACATTGTAATAAAGAAATAAAAATGCTAATGAGTTATGGATCAATATAGTTTAAATATAAAATATAAATAAAGTTTAAATATTTTGAGAAATGGTATTGATTATACTGTATTTATTTATTTTTGTTATATTTATAATTGTATTTTATATTTTCGTTGTTACACATAATGTCTTTTGATATATATAGAACACATAAATAAATTGCCTTATTTATTCATTTAGTTATTATATAAACATATACCTTATTTTTATTTCATTTCAAAAGAAAAATATTTTGCGACGTATAATCTTTAAATTTGTATGTTACCTATATCTAGCTATCTTCTTTTATACTAATGTTTTATTTAAATTAAAATAACGTGTATACATCTAAATGAGCGCTTTTTAAATATTTTAAAAATGCGTATTTGTATAAACACATATTTGATTTGAAATTTGAAAAAGCGTTTTTTTTTCATTATAAAAATTTATTTATATATATAAAATGATTTTTCTCTTTATAAAACAATTTAAATTGAGTTTTTTTGAACGAGTTGTTAATTCACACTATATATTTAATAAATAGATGAAATACATAGCGATTTTCAAAGATGTAATGTAAATAGAATCATATTATGTGTATTAATCTTTATTTTATTTCATTTTTTTATTATAAATATATTTACTATTTTGAATAAAATAAAAATATATGCAATTTGTTATTCTATTTTAGAAACTATATCGCATTACAAAAATTTGAAACAAAACAAAATGCGTATAAACTTTAGAATATATTTTGTATAATATTTAATAATGATAATTTGTCGCACACAGCAAAATATTTTTAATAAAAGGTTAGAAAAAAATCGAATTAAATTTAAATATATATGCATATGGGTATATTTAGAAAACATGATAAAAAAGGTAAATAATACAGGAAATAAACAGACGCCTACCTTTCACCACCGCGTAGGCCAACACACTGATCGTCTGGTTAGCTTTGCCACGTGGCTTTCATATCAGCGCATGCGTACAGTCATTTTCCAATAAATACAAAAGTTGCTTATTTGAATTGAACTCTTTTAGAAAAAAAAATTGATTCTTTTTATTCCGCTTGTTATTTTTTTCTTTATTCATCTTTTCACAAGTCAATTTCATATAGATTAGTAGTAATGGGTATCTTCGTTAATAATAAATAAATTCTAAATTTAGATCTATGGGTTCTGAAGCTTTTATCTAGAGACGGATTGTAATAAAATATTTTATTACCATTTTTATTTGTTCTGTGAGTTTTATGACTGCCATCTTCCCGATAAAAGGGATGACACTTCTGACGTAAAATATTTCCGGCAATATTTATTTATCCACTTCTGACATTAATAGTTTTATTTGGTAACATTGTATTATCTATGATATATACAATATTCATCAGGCTTATTTCTTGGTTATTATTACCCTGAGATAACACGTTATTTACAAACATATATTTATATATAATTAGTACCTATTTTCTGCACTTTGTCTGTTTTATGATAATAATAAATATTGATTATTTATTAGAAGAAAATATTTTCTTACTATATAATAATATTTACCAGTTTTATTTGTATGCGTTTTTTAAATTTTATTTAAAAGATAAGATTATTTTAAATGCATGTTTTATAATATAATATAATGCAGTGTATTATATTGTATTATAAGCTACTTTATCAATATAAAAAATGGCATTTCAACACCTGATCTTTTTATCTTTTATTTTTTTATTTCGTTTTTTAAGCTACTTTATGTATTATTTACGAACGGAAAAATACGTCCAGGGTAGCCTAGTGGACATGGCATCTGCCCGGTAAGCGGAACATTGTGGGTTCGATTCCCATCCTTGGACACTTTTATTTTTCCGTTCATAACCCTTTCATACCTCATCCAAAAAGGTTAGAAATAGTCAATATTTCACCTTGAAATAATATTTTGATTTTTCATTGAAAAGAAACTCATGCGGTGTAACTTCAAGTGTCGTTTTGCAAATGCATGTTTTACCGGGTTACTAGTTCAAAACCTTTGCCAGTATCAAATAAATTGTGTAATGATGTTATCCGCTTTTATTAATATTTTATTCTGTGAGTTAAAATAAATAGAAAAATATTTTAGTTGAATTATATTAAACCCTTAAGAAATTAGAAATATATA